GCAGCCCAGAGACAGTGTCACTGGGCACACAGCAGGCACAATGCTTGTTGCCTGACTGAAGCCCAGGGAGTGTCACTGGGCACACAGTAGGCATCTCATAAATGCTTACTGCCTGCTGTCCAGAGAGAGTAAACTCATTCTTTTGGTGCCCGCCACGTGCTGCACAGTAAATGCCTGGCACACAGTAGGCGCTTAATAGATGCCTGCTGCCATCAGGGGTCCTGGCCACTGTGACCTGAAGCTCAGCTGGGCCCTGCAGCTTTAACAAGCCGGGCGTGGCCCTGGGCAGCAGGCAGATACAGTGCCCCACCCGCCTGGGCCACGCCCTTGCTCTCGCCCCCCCCATACCCGCCCTCCTCCTGGCCGGGAGTGGAGGGCGGCCTCTGGGGTGGGGCTGGGCTCGCGCAGGCGCACTCCCGTGATTCGCCTCGCCTCGGGGGCGGAGCTTCCTCTCAGGCCCAGGGAGGAGGGGCCGCTTCTGGACTCTCGGACTGTACCAATATTCGTGGAGGGGGGTGGGGTGGGAGGAGACAGGGGCTCCAAACCAAAGAATGAAAACCAGAAAGTGGACCGAGTGGGAAGAGCTGGGAGACAGAGGGTCAGGGTGGCGTCACATCCGGTGGGCGGGGCTAGGCCCTCCCCACTCCACCCCCAGTCCGGAAGGTGCGGTTTAACCGAGAGCAGCGGTGGCAGCAGCTGCTGAGATTCGCAGGTGGGTGGCCCGGGAAGTCGGTCTAGGGGCTGCGTGAGGGGGTGGGGCTAGGGAGGGGGCTCTGTGGGAGCGCGGGCAAAGCTCCGCCGCTGCTAGCCTCGTCCTGGCGAAGCGCCGTGATTGGGCGGAGGGGGCGCGTGACTCACGCCGGCGTTGCCTGGAGTCCGGGTGGGGTGGGGGGGAAGAAGAGAGGCGAGGGGAGCACGTGACCTTCACCCCTCCTTCCCCTCACCCCGCGCACGTGACACTCCCCCCTCCCCAGCAGGTGTTCAAAAGAGTGTAGAAGCGTCTGAGCTGGAGACACCTAGAACGCGAGGCATAGAAGTGGTTCTGGAATAGAGGACATAGAAACCTCTGAGCTGGGAGACACCCAGAACACGGGGCATAGAAGTCTGGGGGGGGGGGGAACCTAAGCCATAGAGCGCAGACTATCCGATCTGGGAGGCAGCGCTGTGGTGCCTGGGGAAGCCCCTGAGAGCCTGGAACGCAGATCTGGGAGGGACCTTAGAACAGGGGATGTCAGAGCTGGGAGGGCCTCAGAACAGGGGATGTCAGTGCTGGGAGGGCCTCAGAACAGGGGATGTCAGAGCTGGGAGGGGCCTTAGAGCATGGGATGTCAGAGCTGGGAGGGACCTTAGAATAGGGGATGTCAGAGCTGGGAGGGGCCTTAGAACTGGGGATGTCAGAACTGGGAGGGACCTTAGAACAGGGGATGTCAGGGCTGTGAGGGACCTCAGAACAGGGCATGTAAGAGCTGGGAGGGGCCTTAGAGCATGGGATGTCAGGGCTGTGAGGGACCTTAGAATAGGGGATGTCAGAGCTGGGAGGGGCCTTAGAGCATGGGATGTCAGAGCTGGGAGGGGCCTTAGAATAGGGGATGTCAGAGCTGGGAGGGGCCTCAGAACTGGGGATATCAAAACTGGAAAGGCCCTTCTGAAGCTTTAGGACACAGAAGTCAGCCCTCATTCAACAAGCATCAGTTAAGTGCTTGCTGTCTTCCGGTCTCTGTATTAAAGCCAGGAATCCAAAGAAAGGCTAAAGTAGCCTGCCTTCAGGGAGCTCACACTCTGACCTAAGATAGAATCTGCAAACCACAGTGTAGGAACGGGGCATGAGCGGAGTAACCTGGAGGGGACCCGAGGGAAAGCGCCAGCCTTTGGGGGACGGAGGCCTGGCTGTCCTTCCCACCAGGAATGCCCTGCTTCCTTACCTTCATTCCTCCTCTCTGCTTCCAGTCTCAGCTCAAATCCTGCTTTCTGTTTTAATTTTTTTTTAATTTTATTTATTTATTTTTTTATGGCAATTGGGGTTAAGTGACTTGCCCAGGGTCACACAGCTGGTGTTAAGTGTTTGGTCTGAGGCCAGATTTGAACTCAGGTCCTCCTGACTTCAGGGCCGGTGCTCTATCCACTGCGCCATCTAGCTGCCCCCACAGATCCTCCTTTCTGCAGGAAGCCTTTCTGGGTCCCCTTTAATTCTGTGCCTCTGATCTGCTGACTATTTCAGATGTATCCTGGCTCCATCTTGGTCCAGGGTTGTTTGCGTGGTCTTCTCCATTAGCCTGGGAGCCTTTCTTTACGTCCTCAGTGCTTAGCGGGGTACCTGGCACACAGGAAGCGCTTGGTAAATGCTTTTGACTGACCCCATGACTGGGCCAGAGCTCTGAGGGAGCGTAGAAATCACAGGGAGAAAAGCCCACTTGCCTAAGGGAATTGTGTTGTTTAAGGTCTGCAGCAAGTCAGTGAGCAAGGTGGGGTAAGAAGGTGGCTCCTCTGAGTGCCCTGGGGGCCAGGGCGCAGCCCACGGTTCTGGGGGCTTTAGCACTGCAGGGCTGAGCTCATGGACAGGGCCCCGTTTTGGGGCCCCCGCTCTCCATCCTGCAGCTAGCACGACCTTGGACAAACTCATTTCTCCTTTCTGGTCTCAGTTTCCTCATCCGGAAAGTGGGGATAATGATCCTACTTCCCAGGGCTGTTTTGTAATTCTTGAAGCATTTTACATGTGTGAGTAGTTCTTACCACATCTGCTCTCTCTGGGCTTCTCTCTGGAGCAGATTATCTCAGGCAGGGAACGGGTGCCACCCTGGTTGCTCAGTTGTATTTGCCAGCTCGCTGAGGCTTCTGGCATCGATCCCAAGCTCCTGCCGGCCTGTCACTGGCACCACTCGGGGGACAGAGGCTTCTTAGGATGCCAAGCTCGGTCATAGCACCAGCCTTGCACCACTGACCTCTCAGCCTCTGCTTTTGCTCCTCTCCCAGGCTAAAGCTTTGCTTTGCTCTTTCTCTAGCTACCATCCTTGGCCCCCTTCTATTCTCTTCTCCTCCCCTCTCCTCCTCCCTTTGTGCTGCTGTTCCACTGTGTTTTCTGTCTGAGACCCTGGCCACCTCTCCTTGGCCCGATGGAACCCAGAGCTGGGGATGGGGAGAAAGGGACCTTGCTGGGGACTGCTTTTTCCTGGGCTGCTGTCCAAAGCTTCGGTCTCTGGACAGGTATGGACTTTGTGCTGGGGAACAGGGCAGGGGTGGGGTGGGGTGGGGGATGGCTGCCCAAGGGATAACTGTTATCATAGCCAGCATTTCTGTCACGCCTCGTGGTGTGCAAAGCTCTTTACGTGATCATCCCAACAGCCCTGGGAGGTAGGTACTCCTAGGATCCCCGTTTTATAGATGAGGAAAACTGAGGCAGGCAGCCATTCAGTGACTTACCCAGAGTCACTCAACTAGTAAATGGGAAGTGAAAGACTTTTCTTGGTATTCTGGGCTGTCGCTAAAGGCCCCGACTGCTCATTTTTCTCAATTCTCGAGTCTTTTGGCTGAAGCCCCTCAAGTGACCCCGTCTGGTGGCCTCACAATTCCTGTTTGTCACACATTCCAACTGGCTGGGCAGGGTGGGATTCTGGGGGGAGATGCCCCCCGCTACCTGTCTGCCTTTCTGAATGCCTGCTGTGTGCTCTGTCCTGGGGGCCCGTACCATCGGGATGCTGGCAGGGCCTCGCTGCCCTAACAATGCTGGCCTCTGTTAGGAGGGTGATTGCAGACTGAGAGCCGGGGCATTGTCGAGGCCGAAGCTTTGGGGGACAGCTTCCCTGCCAGGAGGCCGTGATGGATCCGTTCTGGCCGGAGGCTCCACAGGCGCGTTTCAGTTCTAGGGCTGTCTGTCTCAGGCCACGGGACAATGTGGGCAAGCCTCGGGCAGGCTCGTTCCCTGCTGTGTTAGGCAGGAGAGGCAGGTGCAGGAGGGCACAGAGGGGTTTGATAGCGGAATCCTAGGAAGGATTATTGTGCTCTTGGGGGGCGATCTTCTCAGCTCATCACCCAGGATTCCCCTGGGGCTTGACAACTTGCAAGATGTTTTCCTCACTGCCTACCCAGTGAGGTAGGTGAATGTAAACAGTGTATCATCCCCATTTCACAGATGTAGAAACTGAGCCCCAGGGGTCCCACAGAAAGTGCTTATTACTAGGTTCAAAGGTCCGGGCACGTGACCAGAGTCAGGAGAGATTTGAGCCGGGAGCAGCCTGGCTCCCTCCTCCTCCCTGCCCCTCCCTCATGCTTCACCACACCCCTTGCCTCTGTAATTCTGACAGAACCACAACCCCAGGTGGATCCTGCCTCTGGCATCTCATGGCCTTGGTAATGGGACAGTTGCTCAGCCTTTGGTCCTTCAGTGGCCACCTTGTATTGGTGCCTGGGTGAGAAGCTGCTGTCGCCACGTTGGACCCACGTCCGGACCCCAGGGTTTCTGGCTGGTCTTGCTCACTCAGACCCTGTCCTTGGGGGTGCTGGGTCCCTTGGGTCCGACCCCAGTCGGAGCAGGGGAGTGTGCCTGACCCCTGCAGATAGAGGCAGGTGAGGGATAAGGCAGCCCGGACTTGGAGGCCGAGGATCTGAGTTCATGCCATTTCTGCTGTGTGACTCTGTGCCTCGTTTTCCTCATCTGTAAAATGGGCCCAATACTTACCATGGCCTTACTTTACGGGGCTGTTGTGAGGCAAACACTTCTGTTGGCTGCTTCGTTATTAACACACCCATCGGAGCTCTCTTCTGACGCCCCTGGTGGTGTGGCGTTGGCCTGGGGCTCTTGGAGTCTCTGCCAATGCAGTACCAGCACCGGTGGAGCTGGCCTTTGAGTGTGGGCCCGGCGATAACTGACCATCCTCTGGGTTTGGAGGCGCCATCGCCAGGGTGGCTGGAAGGGGGTGGACTTTTTGGTCTCTAGCAAGTTTTAAAGGCAGCCCAATCAGTTAGAAAGGAGCTGTGATCACCGTGGTAGGAGCAGCCGTCACATTCGTGAAATTACAGGTCCCTAAAATATCGCTGTGAAAGATGAGACTGTGTGTCTGGTTGGAACCCGTGGAGCAGAATCCAGTCAGCCGTCTTGTCGGCGAGCATCTATGAAGCCCGAGTGCTCTGAGAGCTGAGGGCAAACCCCCAAGCCACCCTGGCACCGAAGAAGGCAGTGCTCCAGCAGGGCGGATGACGCGTGAATAACGAGATGTGTACGAGGAAGATAGAGAGTCAAGGGGGGTAGGCCCGGGAGGAGAGGCCCTGGGAACGGGGAAGGCCAACTGTCAGCTGAGTCACGAAGGGAGCCAGAGAAGCCAGGAGGTCGAGGTGAGGGGGCTGAACGTTTCAGGCAGGGGGTACAGCCAGTGCAAAGGCATGGAGATGGTAGATGGGGAGTGTGTTGTGTTTGAGGAGTTGCAGGTGTCCTGGGATTTGTGGAGGGGAGAGAGGCGTGAGAAGATCCGGAAGGGGCCAGGTTGTGGAAAGCTTTAAATGCCAAATGGAGGTGTCACTGCGGTTCATTGGGCAGGGTGTATGTCATGGGCAGTCCTGTGTTTTAGAAGAATCACCTTGGCAGATGAGTGGAGGACAGCTTGGAATGATGTCACCAGCATTTATATAGCACTGTAAGGTTTGCAAAGTACTCTCTCCTCACAAGTCTGGAAGGTAGGTGCTGTTTTTATCCTCAGTTTACAGATGAGGAAACTGAGGCACAGAAAGGTTAGGTGCCTTGCCCCGGGTCACACTGCTGTAAGTGTCGGAGGCCAACACTTGAACTCAGATCTTCCTGACTCTAGGGTCAGTGCTGTGTCCACTGCACCACCGAGGAGCCTCAGTGCAGGGAGCCCTGTTACAAAGCTATTGAAATGGTCCCAAAGGGAGGTGCTGAGGGGCTCCACTAGGGGTGTGACTGGAGGGAAGGGGGCAGGTTGGAGGGATGTCTGGAAGCCCAGATTTGATGATGGGTTGGATACTGGGAGACGACACTGAGGTCGTGAGCCTGGCCGAGCAGTGAGATGGTGGGACGAGCACCAGGTTTGGGAGTGAGGAGAATGAATTCTGTTTTAGACATGTGAAGTTGGAGACGTGTGATGCACCTCAGGAGAGAGCCAGGGGCCAGCAGCCATCTGCAGAATGATGATAATCAAACCCACAGGAGCTGAGAGCTCACCACATGGAAGAGCATCGAGTGAGAAGAGAAGAAGGCCCAGGCCAGAGCCTGGGGGGACCCTGTGCTTAGTGCAGGCGGATGAAGACCCAGCAGAGAACTCCCAGGCAATGAAATACCACTGGATCCTGAAACAACCTGAGAGAAAAAATGCCGTGGCCTGAAGGAGGGCGTTTGGTCTCCAGAAGTCGCTGGGGTGAGGCAGTTGTGAGGAGTCTCCAAGGATGTTTCTGGATCAAAGTGGATTAAACTCGTTTTCATTTTCTTTCTTCTTTGGCTAACCATAAACTAGAAAAGCTGACTAGGGCTGTCTCCGGGCGTCAGAATTTATCTTCCGTTGCTGATGGACACAGCCAAGAGAGGCGTCTTAACACATTTCTGCTCCTCTCAGAGCGTAGGGAGAAAGTGGTTGAGATTGAAGGGGGAGAGCGCACTGATGTTGGAGGCCCAAGGGCTTCAGAGAAAGCCCAGAACCCTGGCCAGATAGCAGGAGAGCGGGCAGCTTTCCAAGTAACGGGGAGCTATGAAGATGGACATGGTGGTTGTATTGCACACCTTATTTAGCAAGGATTGAGCACCTGCTGTACCCATTGCACTGTGGGAGCCACTGAGGGAGGGAGACATAGGATAAATGAAAACCAGTCCTGGCCTTCAGGAGTGGAGGAGGAAGGTCTTGACTGGATGAACCCAGTGAAGAGGGGAGAGCGTCGTAGGCTGGAGACTAAGGTGAGCAAAGCATAGAAACAGAGTTTAGCCTGTGGGTAGGACTGTGTGGAGACTAGCTCGGAGCAGAAGGAGCATGGCGGGGAGATGATGGAATTGGGAAGTGGGACGAGGGCTCCATTGTAGACTGGAGCAAGGGCCCAGATGATTGCGGTGGGGCCCTAGAAAGACAGTCATGGTAAGAGCCATGCTTGTAGGCTTTAAAGTTTGCAGAGAGGAGCCATCCTTTTCTTTTTTCTTTTTTCTGTTTTCGCTTTTGGGTGAGGCAGTCGGGGGTAAGTGACTTGCCCAGGGCCACACAGCTAGTAAGTGTTGAGTGTTTGAGGCCAGATTTGAACTCAGGTCCTCCTGACTCCGGGGCCGGTGCTCTGTCCACTGTACCACCTCGCTGCCCCTAGAGCCATCCTTTTCACTCAGGATAATCAGCTGTTGTTAGCCTTCCTGTTTTGTGGCTAAGGTTAAGGCTAAGTGTGAGTGGTCATTGTAACAAAGTCGTAGTGGTGGGATCTCTTCTTACCCCAAATCCAGACTCCTTCTGTTATTTGTAGTGGTTGTAGAGTTGTTTCAGTTGTGTCCAACTCTCCATGACCCCACGTGGGGTTTTCTTCACAAAGATCCTGGAGAGGTTTGTCATTTCCTTCTCCAGCTCTTTTTACAGATGAGGAAACTGAGGTCGACAGGGTGAAGTGACCTGCCCAGAGTCACACAGCTGGTAAGTGTCAGAGGCCAGATTTGAGGTCAAGTCTTCTTGACTCCAGGCCCAGCCCTCTCTGTTCATTGTACCACCAAGCTGCCATCATACCTGTGCATGATGGGAAGAGAAAGAGGCCAGATGGGGAAACCGCTTTGGAGATTGTTGCAGTAGTCAGTGTGAGTTGATGAAGTCCAGGACTTGAGGTAAAGGCAGAGGAGATGGAAAGAGAGAAGTGGATAAGAGAGCAGACTTAAAAGAAGACCATAGTATTTAGTGATTGGACATTGATTGGACATTGTGCTGCAGGTGAGGCAGGTGCTGAGCCTGGCCGAGTGGGGAAGTGGTGGGACCCCTGATGGCGATGGGCGGCGGAAAAGAGCAGCTTTGGGGGACGAGGGATGAGGGGCCTGGCATCCCACGTGTAGAGTTCACAGTGACTTCCTGTGGGCAGCTGGAAATGTGGGACTGGATAGAATGGATTTGAGAGTCTTCAGCGTGAGACAGGATCATTCAGCCCAGGGGGAGTGCCCAGGAGGAGCGCCCAGGGGGAGCGCCCAGGAGCCTGTTTGGGAGCCACAGATCCGGCTGCCTGCATTTCTGGTCATGGTTATAAGTCAGAAGTGAAGTGGTTATTTCACCTCCTGGCACAGGGTGATTTAGCCCAAGGGGCTAGATAAATAGATTGGCCCAGCCTTCTGGCAGCTTCCAGTTTGTTGCAGTCTAGGAGATTGGGGGGCAGTGACTGGATTTCTTGGGCTGCTGTGAGAGAGGCTTCTTTCCTTCCTGCCTTTCTGAAAAGCCCCCTGCTCATGAGGGAGAGGAGCCTGGAGTTTTCACTGAGGTGAAGGCCTGAAGAATTGGAGGTAGCCCACGTTCCACATGGGTTTGTGAAGCTGCCTGAAAGATTGGCCAGAGGGGGTTTTAACTTGGGGGTGGCTTACCTGCCTCCCACCCGCCTGGTGGCTTGCTTGCATGCATGGGCAGGTATTTGAAGATCCTTTGGGTGGTTGTCCTTAGCACCTGTGTTTGGAGGCCATCCCTTCCGGCTCTTCAGGCTAGGACCAGATTTTGTGGATCAGAACTGCCTGTGGAACCAGGTAACCTGACTTCCCAGCATGGCCTGTGAGGGAACCACCTCTCGGAGCCTGGCATGTCCTCATCTCCACGTGGTTTTATGCCCAGCCTGCCCGGCAGGGAGGTGGAGAAGAGAGGACTTTGTATGCCTTCCAACACTCTCCAAGTAGGATTGGGTTTGGCCATTGGCCCCCATCAGTGCTTTTACTGAAAGCCTGTGGACATCCTAGCACTCTCAAGAGGCCCTGCCCCCATTCCAAACCGTAAATTAGAATCAAATGTGTGGGCAGAACCCCCAGAACCTGTTGGACTGCTGTCCATAGCTGTGATGAGTAGTGAATGCAGAGGAGGAAATGCTGATTTTATTGATTTTCACGACCATCGCTAGATAAGGCGTTTTGGATAAAAGCATTTATTCAAGGGGTGCTGGGCATACAAAAATAAGGAAGGAAGATCTCTGTCTCCTCTTAATGGGGAAATGCCACACATAAAGGGGAATTAGAATTGGGGGAGAGTAAAGCCACGGGCTCTCGTGGTGAGAAGAGGAGGGAAGGGGGAGGCCGCTGGCTGAGGGACACAGGGCTAGTGTCTGGCTTCCTTCTGGGGAGGAGGTAGGGGTGATGGCCCCAGTAGGGCCTGGAGGATATGGCATGGAGGCTGGGCCCCAGCCTGATGAGGATCAAGCCCATTCATCCGCTTGGTGGGGAAATCAAGCGATTTGACATTTTGGTAGCTGGGTGCAGAGCTGGAGCCTGCCTGGAAATGAGGACTCATGGGCTAGAAAGAGGGAGGCTTAGGAAGGTTTCCATGGCAACCTCAGCTCTTTGTGACATCAGCAGGAGGCCGATGAGGGCTTGGCAAGGGCAGCAGCTTGGCCTGACAACTTGCTAGGGCAGCAGGGCTTTTTATGAAATCACAGGTCAGAGCTGGGAAATCTAAAAGGGATCTTACAATTCCTCCTGCAGTGGGGTTTCAGATGAAAAGTACCCCATTAGCCAGGGGCTGTTGGAAGATGAAGGTTAGGGATGCTGCCCACTTTGAACGGTGCTTCCTGGGGGTTGTGGATGGGCTGCAGCTGGGTCCTTGCCTGCTCGCCAACAATAGCTGACTTTGATGGGGCACTTTGTTGTGTCCAGTGGTGTCAGTCGTGTGCGGCTCTCTCTGGCCCCACTTGGGGTTTTCTTGGCAGGGACAGTGGACTGGTTTGCCATTTTCTTCTCCAGCTCATTTTACAGAGGAGGAAACTGAGGCAAACAGGGTGAAGTGACTTGCCTAGGGTCAGCCCAGGCAGGTGGCTGAAGCCAGATTTGGACTCAGAAGATGAGTCTTCCTGACTCCAGGCTCAGCGCTCTGTGCACTAGGCCACCTGGCTGGCCAGAGCACTTTTCATGGGCATATTATCTCATTTGAATCCCAAAGTAACAGTGAGGTGGGTAGCGGAGGTATCATTTATTCCCACTTTGTGGGTCAGAAAACAAGGCCCGTGCAGGTTAAATGACTTAGGTGTGTGGTGCCAGTGTTGGTCCGGGTCCCCCAGGCACCCCTCCAGCTGCCTCTTTCCATCCACTGTAGCTGTTTCTCAGACCCTGTCATAAAGCAGTCGTGATCCAAGCTCTCTGCGGCTGGGCATCCGAATACCTCAGCTCCTCTGGGATCCCAGCAGTGTGGGGGTGCCTCCCTGGGTCTGATGCCAACCCGTCTGTGCTTTCTCTTCTTCCTCATCCCCTTCTAGAACTCCTGTGCCAGAGGCCTTCCCTGGGGCCTTTCATGCTCCGGGAGTCCCAGTGTGCACTTGGGCCATCCATCCATTTACCTTCGCTCCATGACTGGTTTGCTCTTTTCAGATCACGGGTGAGGTCTTTTTCACTGTTTCTTGCACAGAGATCACCCACTTTAGGGCCCCTCTTACATGAGGGGAGGAGTCACGCTCCAGGTGATATTGTGTCCTCCCAGGCGGCTTCATGCTGATGTGCTATCCTCAGGTAAAATTCCTAGGAAATGGGGTGAGTGTGGGCCCTGCCCTCACTTTACAAATACGCCTCTCCGAGTCTGGTCTGTGACCAGACTGAGTCACTGGTACAGGAATCCTGGTTTAGTGTGCCATCTGTTAGAAAATGATGCCTTTTGTTTTATTCTTGCTTTGTGAGACTTTGTCCTTGGCCTTGGAGAGGTGAGTTTTAGGGGCCAAGAAAGCGAGAGGTCCCTAATGTCTTCAGGACCACGTGGCCCTTTAGTGGCAGGGCCAGCCAGGGCCTACTGAGCCCCATGGAGGAAGAGCTGGGGGTGGGGAGAAGCCGCCGTTGTGAAGACAGATTTAGGAGCTGACCTGGCAGATTCATCTGTGAGTATTTTCAGCTTTAGCTTTTGTCTGCCAGGTGCTTCCCACCTCATCTTCCTTGCTTTGCTTGCTCTGGAATTGAAAGAGTTGGCATCACCCTTCTCCTAAAGGGCACTTGTACTGATAATCAGCCCTGCCTCCATCTCTCCTGGGAAAGCGTCAGGCTGTGTGGGTGCATTTCAGCTGAGACAGAAGGAGTTGGCTGGTTGTTCTAGAGAGGAGGAGTTCCCGAGGAGTTGGTCACTCCCTCCTTCCACCTCACAGGAGAACTGTTAAGGACCTAAAGAGTGACGGTCTATGTACTCTCCCCTTTGGTTCACATACCGCGTTTGGAGGCTTTGTGAACCCATCAGCCCTCTGAGAACGCCTCCAATCCTTGTGCCTCATCCCACCTGTCCATCAGCTCCCCCTCGCCCCCTTCCAAACACTCAAACACGTTGACTTGTCTGAGAAGGAAGAGGCAGAGCCCCCATTGGTAACATGTTGGAGTTGGACTGGATGGTCTTGGAGGGACCTTTACCTCCTGGAGGGATAATTCTGTGACCTAGGCGGAAGGGGCCAGCGGCCTGGGGCCTGTCCCCGTCTTTTGGGACGAAGCGTATGTGGTGACTGGTTTCTGTGCTCCCCTTGTTCTCTGTAGCGTGACATGGCCTCGGAGGTCGTGGCTTACGTGGAGACGCATTGGTTTAAAGTTTGTATTATGTGACCAGGCAACCTGCAAGCGCTTGGCACAGGGCCTGGCACATAGTAGGTACTTAAACAATGCTTAGTGACCGGCTGCTAAGATATTGTAATGGTAATGGGCTTGTCGGAGCTTCCTTGTGGCTGATGAAATGAGTGAGAAAACAAAGGTTTGATCTTCTGGACATAGCGATTTATTAAGCAACGTATGGCAAT